TGCAAGATCAAAAATGTTTCTTTCTACAGACATTTTTAAAGGAACATTCCAGATGAGCACACTGTTATGGCATGGAATAACATAGGTAACAGGACAGATTTAAGAAAGAACAAAATCCAGAAATACCTGAACAACTAAACTAACAAAAGATTTCAAAAATCATTAATTTACTTGTGTTGTAAAATATAGATCTAATACAAGTTAGTGTATTTTTTGGCTAAACAACTTTGCCACTTATGCTTCCATCTGTTTTACTGCTTATTGTGACATCTACTCTATTTTTTGCCCTTAATATTTTCAAGTTTCTGCTTTTCCAAAATTCAGAGCTGTAAAATCAATTAAGTTAGGAAGCCTGTAACTCTGAATTGCTACACATGGCAGAATATATATAAAATATATATACTGGACCAGATGTTCAAAGCTGTTTAAAGGCAGGAGGTCAATTTAATAGAAAGTTTTATGAGAAAGTGTAGAGATTTCATGAAGTCAGGAATCTGTGTATACATTCTTATGCTGTGTTAAACAGAACCTGCCTTTAGAACTAGGTAGCCAGTCCCCCCAAGATTTCCTTGATGATGCTTATAAACAACTCCTTTGGAAACTCATTTGGACTTTTCATTACTCCGTTGTTTCTCTACATTAAAAAAGGTAAATTCAGAAATATCCCAAAGGCTCCAAATACTTCATTAAAACAATGCACAATCATCGTTAGTTCACTCTTTTATAAATCATTATTTTCAGGTGCTTTCAGGAAAGAAGGAAGGAAAATGCATATAAATGAATGAATGAACGAATGAATGAATGAATGAATGTTAGGCGTCACGAGAAAATTTTTCTTAAATGAAGAATGCAAGATGCTACACAATGGCAGCCCATCAATAGTGCCTTCAAATGGTTCATACTCAACATTCCTACCCCTGAAGTAAATGCATCTTAACATTCAAACATGGGATAAGGGAAATGTTTAGGCTACTAGAGGACAGAAAATTCTACTTCTGAATCAGAAGATCGTGTTTAAGGAAGCAGTTCCAGATTTTGCAAGAAGTAAATCTTATGAAATCACCCCAAATAAAGCAGATACTATTTTCTCCATAAAGTTCCTTTCTTTATAGTATGTAGGAATCAAATGCCTGGTTATAGTATGTAGGAATCAAATGCCTGGTTTAGAATAGGATGAACTTTGTCCTATAGCCTAGTCTCCATAGAGTAAATTGCAGTAACAATATATGTATGTCAAGAATTTCCCTTAAATCAGTCAGAAATATTTTTTATTTTGTATGGGGTTTGTTTTATACTGTATTTTTCCATGTGAGCCACTGAGAGATGTTTTTGATTGTGGCAATATACAAATATATTTAATAAATAAAAACTTTCTAGCTACTTTCTTCAGTCTTCCTAAATAGTTTGTTGGGAGTAGATTTCTACAAGTTTCTCTGCCTCCTGTGGATGCACCTCATTGGAAGATTCCCTTTCCTCTGCTAATTACCTCCTCCTAGACTCAACAAAGAGTTTTGAAAAAGCCTTCTCCAATCTGGGTTCCCTTAGAGTTTTAGTTTACAAGTTTCACACACTGACCCATCATGATCAATGGTTTGAAATTATGGTAGCTTTCAACCAAGATATCTGGAAAGACACAGGTTGGGAAACCATGGTAATAAAAGATGGGTCTTTTACCTATAAATTCCCCCTTCCCCCACCTTTCACTCTCTCAGGGTTCCTTATTTCTGTTACGGAAATACGCTGTAAGACTGCCTGGGACGAGCTAGGGATAAAGTAACTCATTCTTAATCATATTAACTTGGAGCCCTAGATTTGTCTGTATATTTCAATAGCCAAAGATCTGTCTTAAATGTACTGATTGCTTCTTCTGGCTATGTAGTTTACTCAGGAGGAGAAAAGTTCTACTGTACTCATGCAAAGAAAAGGCACCCATGTGCTCCTTTTACATCATAAAAATTAAACAACTCCCATGGAGCTCAACAAACTTACTTTTGTGGCTTGAATTATGGTGGGCAAGAGTAGCTAAGGAGTTTGCTAAGTGTTAGGCTTCTTCAGCTCAGCTCCCCAACATTTCAATCACTGTCATGGGCATCTCATACATTTTATCCTCAAATAATACTAGTTATCCAGAGAACCTGATGCAGAATGCAACTTAAACTAGATTGGTATAAAAGTTCTTTGCATATACAAGTGGGGAACTCTATCACTCATTGAATTATTCAGTACATCATGAGAAGATAATCATGTCAGGGGAAGACGTGGTTCATGGACATATAGCTGTGTGCACAGGGGCATTTTATGGATGTCCTAATGAATGTGGGAAGGTTGAGGAGGTATCTATCATCTCCACAAGTGCTCATTACTCTAGGCATCCAGGGGGGAAGGGATTTAAACAAGTCAATTTAATGGTCCCAACTGCATGATCAAAGCCCCATCCATTTTGGACATGCATCATCCCGCATACATAGAGTGCTAAGGCATCAAGTTCACAGTCATCACTGTCATCTTGACTTTTTAACACCCTCTGCCCTGCCCCACCCGCAGATGCTACTACTTCTTGCCCACCTATCATCTACGGACATCAGGGCAGTGCTGCGCTTTGCACTCAGAGGCACAAAGATGTTCCAGAGTGCATGATGTTCTGGCATACTACCGGTTTGCAACTCTTTAAAGAGTTGTGCCTTTTCCCTTGATTGTGTGGCTGCCCTCTGCACCCCTGCATGCTCTGAAGCAGCTGTTGGGCTTCAAACCCAATTTGCCACACAGCCCTAAGAGATACTGAACAACTAAAAAGAAACTCATGTTCCCTGCGTAATGAATATTTTTCAGCACTTCTCCTTTTCTTAGTTTTATATTATAGCTGAACCTGGTCACTGTCTTCTGGGTGCATTTCTTGGCTATCTGTCAGAAAACGTAGAGGTACTGCAATCTGAAATCTGGAAAAGGGCTTTTCCTCTTCTCAAATATATGGTTAATGTCACCAGATTAAATGTGTGATTTTTGAATGTGTTAACCAGAACAAAGGGATGATCCGAACTACCCACCTGCTCTGTGCTTAGCAGAGAAAACAAGGATAAATGTCCATGAAAAGATATAGAAAGTTATTTTGTCCAGTAATTGTATCTTTGGGAAGAAGCGGTTGTTGTCCAGCATATTATCTGAAATTAGTTCCTTTCAGAGGGTTGAAACATTGCAGCAAAAATATATTTTTCCTTAATATTTCTCCAAAAGCTTCTAGTGCAGAAGAGAGCGGAGGATATTTGGGGTGGGGAAAGCAAGCACAGAGTCAAAAAGCTTGGGTTAATTTTCCTTTTTAGACTTACGGATTTATTAGCATCAGTCACATATAATGACGCACCATGAAGCCTGTGTTATTAAATCAAATTGCAAACCCACTTTTTTGCCAGCCAGATGCCCCCAAGATGGACTGGAACTACAACTCCCAGAATTCCCAACCAGAAGGGGTCAAAACAGGTCTCCCTGGGAATTCTGGGAGCTTTAATCCCAGCAACCTGGAAGCTTGGAGAACACTGCTTTAAACAAATAAGCAGGTAAACAGTCAGACAAGTATGACATGATAATGACATGACATGACATCTAAATTTGTGGTTACAGTCTCTTTTGTGCCCTTAAACCAGGCTATATTCTTGATTCATAAATATTAGCACAGCTAGCCATAATAAATCATAATCTCAGGTTTGGGCACCATGCAAAATTATTCCTGCCTGGTTTCTTCATCTGGTTGTACAAAGGATGGTGGAAATACTCTCCATGCATAAATCTGCTCATTCATGTTTTGATATAAACGCTCCTTTCGGCTTATTGTTAAACGTGAATTTGGTCATTATTTCTTTAGGTCACTTGGTCGATATTGGATTAATAATGCAATTTACTCATAAAATATGTCATTTGTTTACATTGCAATTAGGGGGAAAAAAGCATTAATCAAAGGGTGTTTTTTAAAAAAAACACACTGGACCCTTTTTATTCATCCAGTGAAGGGTTATGGGGCAACAGGACAGGGAAAGAATTTACTTCAAGAAGACTAGGAAAGTTGTGAATACAGCCTTCAATGGGCAAAACAAATCTTAGGCAAATTGGTTTTAAAATCAGGAAATCTGTAAGAGGCAAGATCACACATACAGAGTCTAGGCATGCAGTAGTAATGGGGAATCTATGGTCTTGTAGATGTTGCTAAACTACAAATCCCAGCACCTCTCCTCTGACCACTCTGTCTGGCCCAACAGCATGTGAGAAGCACCAATTCTGCACCCCAGGAAAGGTCCAGATCCTGACTTTGGAATGAATATGTGGAAGTTAGATACAGGAACTGGAAACAAGAGCTCTTTGAGCTTTCAGTGCAAGGGTGAACAGACTGAAACACACCTGACAAACTGGTGTAAGAAAAGAGCACTACATAGGATAGAAAATTGGTAAGGTTTTGTGCACAGGGCTGGAGTATAGTTCAGAGTTGGACTATATACTTTGCACACAAAAATGGTGAGGAACAACCCTTAAGAATTTCCATTTAATGGCACAAAAGAAGATGAAGGGCAGGATTCTAGAGGAGCCTTTGCCAGGTTAGACTTTAACCCCAATTCTTTCCAGCCAGCACAACCTTTAGGTGTGGGAAAAACCTGGCTTCAATTCTTGGCAATGCCAATTCAACAGAGCAACAGGAGGTGATAGGAAAAACTCTAGAGCTGGATCTAGCTTCCGAATTCCCCAGCCAACACGGCCTTTGACGGTCGAGGGTTCGGGGTGCTGAGGCTGGGGCAGGCTATCCTGAAACGAGCCAGCCGCTGCAGACAACGAAGCAGCTGAAGGGGGAACTGTAGGAAGTGGGTCAAACGCGGCTTCCTAGAAGGCGCGGCATGCGAAGGCTTTCACCGGCCGGACGCCCTGAGCTTTCTGCCCACGGCGCCGTTGCTAAAAGGGAGAAGGGACTGGGGCTAAAGAGCCCTTTGCCTCCAGAGCACAGCCCCGCTCCGCGCTCTCACCTGCTGACGCTGGCTGTGGTTGCCTGGCGGCGCTTCGGGATCGCTGCTTCGCAGCACCGTGATGTGCAAGGCAAGCAGGAGGAGCCCAGGCAGCAGCAGCAGCTCGGCCGCTAGACGCACCATCCTCTTGCAGAGGACGGCTTTAGGGCTCCGCGGCGGCAGCGGCGGCGG